TTTTTTTCCTTACTTTCTTTCTTTACAAAGTCAAGACACCGATGATAATAATAATAATTTATCTTTCGATGAGTGAGTCCTTACCTCTCCCCTACCCCTCCCCCTTCCCTTCTTCCACCTCCTATCGAATAAAATGCATCATAGTTAGTTGTTCCTTATCGATCGATTCATCGAAATTTTTTCTTTTTGGATAAGGGGAACGGGACGAGATGGGACGGGGTTTTCTTATTATTTTTCGAAACGTTCGAAATGAAATATATCTATCAATCAATAATGGTTACATCACCCAACGGATATATTAATCGATTAATAAAATCGATATATATATATATATATATATAGTTTTTTTACGAATAGAGAATAATTCAATCGTATGATGATATATATATTTTTTAATAAATTATTCATCCGGTGACATTTCGAAATGCAACGAACCTAAACGCGCGATTTTACATTACCGATCTTTTTAGAATTGATTATTCCATTTTGTAATATCACGTACACACGCTTGTGCATTACAATTACTCGTGTAAGGGAACAATACATCGTGTATTATATGTGCCAGTTATTATAACAATTGACTAATTGTAAATCAATCAAATTTTTGTACGAACTTATTCTATAGTTTTTTTTTTTTTTTTATTTTACGCAACGCTAAAGTAATTTTTTTAATATGAATGATTAAATATCATTAAATATATGATTCTTTTTTTTTTCGTTAACCTTACTTCACCGTTATAATTATTGGCACATATATTATATGTTGACTCATCAAATATTTTTTTTAAGCATTTGTCTAAACTTATCTATAAATTCTCTCTCTCTCTCTCTCTCTCTTTCTTATTTTCAACTATCATTTAAAAAAAATTAATTTACGCGTTAAAGTTAGTCATTTGAAAATATCGATCGTTAAAAATGAAAACACCATAGAATTTTATATCTCCGATGAATATTTTTTTCTTGTTTTAAACGAATACTCGATAAACATTATCTTACAGCACAACAATAATAACACACAAACAACATTTATATTAATATTAATATTAATAATAATCATCAGGGGAAGTGGGAAAAGAAAATCACTCGCATATTTTAAAAAAAAAAAACCACCAAATTATTCGTGTTCATAATCTCGTCCGTAAAAGCTTTTGAATATATTATTCGTTCGCATTCCGTCGTGTTCGAAGCTCCTACGTTTTGTATGCGCCTCCCCTCCCCAACCCACGTTGTACGCTTTCTCGCTTATATTTTAATTTTTTGTATTGTGTTAACGAGGAAAATATTATGGGAAGAAAAAAAAAAAAGAAAAGAATAGAAACATGGTATAGAAGGGGAGAAAAGGTATATCTGGGGTTGTGTGTTTTTTTTTTTTTTTCTTTTTTTCACGTTAATATATTCGTACGTAACACAGTCCTCGTAAAAAAATAAAGTGTTGGTTGAAATCGTCGAGCTTTTTTTATCCGATGCCCGAGCAGCAAGCAAGCAAACAAACAAACAAACAAGCACCTTTGCGTCGTCGTTCATCGTTCATCATCGACAGCTAAAAAAAAATAAAACAATAAAATATCTATATACACGCCCGAATAAAAATAATTATTAAAAAACAAACAAAAAAAAATCATAAATCAATGACGGAGACAAATTTAACGAAGACAATACGTCTTCTTGTTCTTATTTCTAACAGAAGAAAGGTGTCGCAAGTACTCGTCTCTGCTTTTCGATCCGGTCCATCAACTTGGAGTATAAAAATCGATGTTGACAAATAATCGTTTACATGAAGAAGAACAACTCGTTGTACTATCGTGGAAAGTCCGAGAGAAAAGAAGATAGTGTTTTAAGAAGAGGAAGAAGAAGAGAAGGAGAAGGAGGAGGATTAGGAGGAGGAGGAGGAGGTAATGGTGAGGAGAGAGAGAGAGAAGGGGATTAAAATAATAATTAAAAAGAAAAAAAATAAATAAAAAAGAGAAGGAACCAAACGCAAAATAAGAATAAACTGCTGGTGTATTATTTAGTTTGTCAATTGAAATAAGAGAGAGACAAACACTCACTCGATTCCTCGAACATGGAGGATCGAGAGAGTCCCTTTGCAAGGACTCAACCAAGTAGAAGTTCGATAAGACCAGCAAGTATTTTACGAAAGGCTGCCATGTTAGCGGTTAATAATAGTAGCGGTGGTGGTGGTCACGAAACTGGACGACAGGAAGTAACAAGTCCTAAAACAATGAACAAGAGACTACCTACGGCGCACACTGCATTGGACAATTTGAAACAATGGGAATTGGTTGAGGATAGTAATAAAGGTCTTCAAGTTGTCGAGAAAAGAAATTCTACGAAAGGAATGCCAAGCAGTCCTTCGTCATACGGTAACAAGACGCCGGTGTTTTCGAGAAGAACGATGCCCGCTGATAATGCAATGATCGACGTTAATTTCGAAGAAAAATTAAAGGCATTTAAAAATTCTAAGATCATACAACCGATTCACGAACCGTCGTTGATATCTTTGCAAAACGAACATGAATCACCTATAAGTCTTAATTTGATTTTAAAGCAACGTCAAGAACAACAACAGCAGAAACAACAATTGCAACACCAACGGCAACAACAGCAATTCTGTAAAAATAGTAATACTACTGAGGAGAGTAGTACTGACATGCTTCAATTATTGGAACAACAGGTCAAAGCTATCGAAATGGGCACGATAGCGGCTGCGAAAACCCGTCAATTGGAAAACAGCGAGGAATTCCGACCGGAAGTTGAATTACGTTACAGGGAACACGAGGATCTGTTGAAGAATGTTACCGACGACGAGGCCGAGGGGTAAATTTGATCAATTTTATTTTACGTACTCGTTCGCGTCTGGGTGATGAAGTATATAAGTATTGAATTTATATATAGGACACGTGTATATATCACATGATTTTAATCTATTTATAATTCTCTTCTCTCTTTCTCTTTTTTCTTTTCTTTTTTTTTTTTTTCTTCAACATCCGATCAACAGAAAACCGCGATAGTTCCGTGAAATTAATCGACAAGCACGAAATAATCCTACCGTAACGAGAGAACAACAAAAAATCAATGTATTTTCTTTATTATTCGTTTTACTATACACTATCATCATCATTCTGCTGATTGCGTTCATATACATTCGTACATCGTGGATACGTATATCCGAGGAACAATCAACACTCCATTACACCCACATTCCCGATACTACCCCTGGCCCTCCCCCATCCCTCTTTTCATCCTTTTTTCCTCGCTCGAATAGTTTATCCAATTTGATCGTCGAACGATCCTTTTCATTTCCGTCGCGATTCAAATTCTCATTTGTTATTATTGGCTGCCGTTAACTGTTGTTACCTTTTTTTTTTTTTTTTATACTATTCCGCGCGGCGGTCCTGCTGCGATTCACACGAGAAAAATAAGAACGGGAGGATTAATTTGCGCTCGAGAGTCTATGGATGCTAATCGAAAAAAAAAATACACGCGCTTGGGCTTAATTTAATTTGAACACTTTTTTTTGCCTTCTAATTTTTCAACAAACATTTTTCTTTCTTTTTTTTTTTTACATATCGTGTCAAACTAGTTTCTTGAATTTTTCCGTGCACACACACAAATATATATTTATATGTACACGTTCCTCACCCACGCGCGTACGATTACGTATTACACTAATGTAAAATATATGATGATACACACCTTGAGAGAATAATAATCTCTCTCAAGAGATAATGGAATATACGAATGAAAACAAAATAAAACAAAAAAATACACCTGACAACAACAACAAAGCAAAATAAACAAAAAAATAAAATAAAATAAAAAAAAAAAGGGCTTCGCCGTTGCATCGCGGAGACGCTACGAGAAATTCAACTGGAAATGCGAGCATCGCAACGAAGAAGCCTTCCTCGGTGAAACTTTCAAGGACAGCTTCGGATACTAGACGAGGACAGGAAACGGAAATACCTTTGAGAGCTCAAACGAGGGTGCAACCAGTTCGCACCCTCGTACGACCAATCATCACTAAGAAAGATCATCGTCAGCTGCAACAACAGCAACAACTACAGCTGCAGCAACAACAGCAACAACAACAACAACAACAACAACAACAGAACAATATTATCAGCAGTACTTTCAGGCCACTCTCTGACGTCATGCAGAAAGGTGTTCGTAACGAGAAGGAGGTATCGAAAATCTTTCTCTTTCTTTCTCATTCTATCTTCTGTTATTTTTTCTTTTTTCTGTTTTTTTTTTTCTTTTTTTTTTTCTTTCCTTCCTTCCTCCACTTTCCTGAACCAATGATAAAATGATAATAATGGTATCGTAATTAACGTTATCTCGTAGCATCTACCCTTGATTTCTATAGATATAATATTACATACCGTTCTTTCAAATCTACCAGCTGTTTCTATCCTTATTTTCAAATATTTACAGAGACGAGAGAAAACCAAAAACAAAAAAAAAGAAATTAAAAAATACTCTTTAGAAAATGATTTTGAACAAAACACGAAACGTTTTAAACCAAATGAAAAATATGAGAACGTGCATAGAGATAGATGATATATATAATAGCACACAAATATAGATATATAAATCTGCTTTTTTTTTTTTTTGGAGGAGGAGGAGGAAGAGGGGGGAAAGAGAGCAACCTTGAACAATCGACTGATTCGTCAGAATTTATCGATTGTACCCCTTTTTATTGCGTTCCTTCTATCATAACGTGACTTGGCAAACAGTCTTGAAAATATCGCGTAATTCTTATCGCTGTTAAACACTTGATTTGATATCTGAACGATATAATATTATACCCCCCTCTCTCTCTCTCTCTCTCTCTCTCTCTCTCTCTCTCTTTAATTATTTTAATATTAATTTGACTTTTATATTTCTACCTTTTATTTGTTTTTTTTCTCTCTCTCTTTTCGTTGTTTTTTTTCATTTAGAATCTCTCGATAATCGAAATACGATATAACAATAATGGATTAATTAAAAAAAGTGTGCAGGGGGGAGGGATCTAGGGAGTGGGTGGTAGCGGGGTGATTTAGAGAGAATCAACAAAATAATTTGTTCCGAGATTCGATTGGAAACTTGAAAATTACAAAGGAGGAGGAGGAGGAGGAGGAGGATATTACGAATATATATCACAAAGTCGTCTCGTGTTAGCACCGAACGAAAATTGTGATAAACGTTAATAAAAGTTCTCTGCTTGTCTGTGCGCAAGCAACGACCAAGTTGATGATGACTCGTCGTCGTCGTCGTAGTCATAGTCGTCGTCATAGTCGTCGTCAACGGTACAGTCTGCGGCTCATCCGTTCGAGCTGAAATAATCCGGATGGGTTGCTTCCCTGCTGCTGCTGCTGTTGCTGTCCCATCGGTTCTCTCTCTCTCTATACGATCTGTTTAGCAAGAGGCAGTCATATAATTTAACGATCGTGGGATCCTATCGAACACGATTCAATCCAAGTATCATCTTTTTCAACAGCAACAGCAACAGCAGCAACAGCAACAGAATGAGATAGATACGCTTGGTTGAATAACGCATTTAAGTATGAAAAAGGATTGAAGGTTTCTTTCCAGGTAGAGTAAGAAGAATCATCTTGGCTTTTTACTTTTTACTTTTTTCTTTTTACTTTCTTCTTCAAATAATAAATATCAAAGAAGAAGACTATAGAGACTGTAAGGATTAAATGATACAAAAGGAAAATAATTCTCCTATAATAGACATTCCAAGTGGGATTGAACGGGATTTATCTCTAGCGTCACTTGATATCTAAGATATTCTCATTCGAGAAGGAGAACTCTCGTAAAAGGGGGAAAACCGTAGACTCTGCCGAATTTCATATGCACCCCTCATCCCCTGATAACCCTTAGGCAAAGGAGTCGATTTTGCTTTCCATCGTCGACGTGTCTCTCATCTAAAAGCTATCTCTCTCTCTCTCTCTCTCTCTCTCTCTCTCTCTCTCTCTCTCTCTCTCTCTCTCTCTCTTTCGCAAATATTCTACAAATCGCGTGGGATCTATTTCTAAGATCATCTGATACAATTCTACGAAAACATAACTTCTCTCGATTGACCAATTACTACGTTAATAAAAAAAAAAGTATACCGTAAGATATAATTTCCAAATGTGAAAATAACAAAATAATTTATGAGTCGCGTGTCGTAATTTTAAAAAGTAAACTTAAATTATGAACATGATTGGTAGCAGCTTTTCATTAACAACCGTTAACTGGGAATCCGATCAGCTGACCAAAACTCTACTTTCTCTCTCTCGTTCTCTCTCAACCGAGATTATCCGAGAAAAGCCGATGGGCTGGCTGGTTGGTTGGTTGGTTGGTTGGTTGGTTGGTTGGTTGGTTGGTTGGTTGGTTGGTTGGTTGGTTGGTTGGTTGGTTGGTTGGTGGTGGGTCCCCTTCAGATAGGTGGGTCGACTTTGCTTCTGGTAGGTAGAATTTCACTCTTTATGTTGTCTCCCTTCTCTCTCTCTCTCTCTCTCTCTCTCTCTCTCTCTCTCTCTCTCTCTCTCTCTCTCTCTCTCTTTTTCTCTTTCTCTCCTCTCGTCCCAGAGACGCGCATGCGTCGACGACGTCGTTCAGGAGGCGGCAGGCAAACGTCGACGAGGTGGACGAAGAGGAAGAGGAAGAGGAGAAACAGAAGAACAGAGAGAGAGAGAGAGAGAGAGAGAGAGAGAGAGAGAGAGAGAGAGAGAGAGAAGGGGTTGGGGGGAGGATAGGCTCAGCTTTCAAGGGTGGTTCGCTTCTACCGGGGGTGGCGACACACCGCGTATTGATTCTCCTTTCTCGCATCCCTCCGGCTGTTGAGACTTTCTGTCGTTCTCTTTCCTCTTCTCTCCTCTCCTCACCTCACCACACTTCACCTCTCTCTTTCTCTTTTTCTCTCTGCTCCTTGTATCTTTCGTGTTCTCTCTCGGTTCCTCCTTGTATTTCTATCTCTTTCTCTCTCTCTCTCTCTCTCTCTCTCTCTCTCTCTGCCTCTCTCTCTCTCACACATACTCTCTGTCAGGTGCGCGCGCGCAACTGCAACCCAGCAGACACCAGTCAAGGGGTTGATTCGAGTCCCGAAGGAAAAGGAAAGGAGAGTCGGCTCCCTTTCGCGAGAGAAAGATTGATCATGTCGATGATCAATTCGAATAAAATCAGAAGAAAGTTAATCCTCGAGTCGTCGGCATGCATTACGAATCAATCTATATCATCTTTATAACGATAGAAGAAAGTTTGTTAAATAAAGAACGGACTAAAAAAACGCGAATTTCGTCTGTGTATTATTAATGATATCTCTTGTCCGATGTTAAAATTTGCTTGGTAGTGGTAGTGTTAGTGTTGTTCTATATGTTTCGAAAAAGATTAGGGAAACGCGTTACCTTACCTACCACACCACCACCCATTCTAATCCGTTTTCTTTTCATTTGATTGTTTTATGTTAATAGACAACATTCTCGTGAATATCGAAAAGGAGGTGTTGTCTATACAAAGAGAGAAGGATATTAATATATAGAAAAATAAAAGGCGAAAGTTAATTGGTGATGATTATGTGATATTATGTATCTTTTTCCCTGACAATTGCATCGAGGAGGAGAGTAGTGTTAGTGTAATAAAAAAAATAAAAAGAAAAGAAAAAACTACAGACGTTATATAGTGCGAGTTGTTGAATGGATCGTTTCACGTTCATCTCTTTTTCCTCCTATCGTCGAGTACGACGAACGGGCTCGCATTTGTGGGATCTGATCGAAAGGATTCCATCAAGTTGTTGTCCTAATCGTCGTCGTCGTCGTCGTCGTCAACATCATCATCATCATCATCACCATACTTCTCCATTTAAAAAGGATTATCAAACGTGGAATCGTCATAATTATTCATTATCTAAACACCATCTTTGATCCTTCATTGCCTCGGATGCGAACTTCGGTGTTTTTCTCTTATTCCTGTTTATAATCTTCGAATCATTCATTCGCGCGAGAAGTGTGTTGTTCTTTTACTAATTAAATAATTCATTCATTCATTATTATTATTACATATATATATATATATATATTGTTATATTATTCTTTTTCTGGTTTATTTTGTTATATTTATTAAAATATTAATATACATATTCTTCGCTAAAGAACAAATGTTGGATTTAGTTTGCGACAATTTCCGGTCGATTATTCAAACTCGTCTTTGTTCCGCGAACAAGGTGGAATCTTAGCACTTAGGGATTACATTGTAAGGTTGTTTAAGCCTCTCACGTCTATGTCTCAGAATCGTTCTTCGCGATAAAGAAATTTCTTCAAGATGACGTTCTATGGTGTCCCAAGTAATTATTCGTGTTTCTTAAACGATCCAACAATTTTATTGATGATCGATAAAATTCGGACAAGAGAATGGAATTCCTTGTCCTGAAATTTCATACTTGATCATCCCTGAGACATTGAAATATCTGAGAGAGATGTTTCTTATTAATTAATTAATTTTTTTAAGTAACTCTGTGTGGAAATTGATTTTGAAGACCGAAGAAGAGAATCGTACGTAACAAGAGAGAGAGAGAGAGAGAAAACCAACAGGGACTCCTCCTCCTTCTTCGGGATATTAGATTAGAATAAAAAAATGATCGATCTGAATGACCGTCGTTAATGCGTTTAAATCGACGCCTTTTTCTTTCGAAATAAAACCAAAAGAACATTCAAGCTGGCGACCTCGAAGGTTGCTGCAGCCACCTCTTGCAAGATGGTCACTCGTGGCCTGACGCGGGTAATTGACCTCCTTGACAATTAATTATATTGCTACTTGCTTACTTATAATTTTCTTTTTGTTTTCTTGTTGTTTTTTTTCCTCCCCCTATTTTTTCTTCTTTCCTTATGAAACAAAAAAGCTTGAATCATTTTAGATATCCGATACTTTGTTGTAATTTGTAACGTAATTACGACAATTATTACAACGAATCTAGCGTTGACGTTAAAAAACGCAAATGTTACAAATTTTCCGGGTGGGGGACACGTTGATGAATTTATTAGTTACGTTTTATGTTTCATTCTTAAGACATAAAAAAAATGTCCTTGATACTTGCATTACAGTGGTTGTGTTGTATGCTGTTCTACACGCAACTCTGTTCGAAATAATCTGTATCTGGTGCACTCTAACGAGCTTTAATTAATTACATTGACAATGGCTCGTCCCTGGAAGTGTCAAGTGCGATTCACGGTTCACACGTCCTTTTTAATATACCTATACGTTTACTATGTACTTAGATCAATCTATAGAAAAGTATACGAGCTAAGAGAATGAACTTATATATTCTTGAATCGTTTTCTTTAATTTTCTTGCAGCGTCTTAAAATAAGACTCTAGCCTTAATATAATGAAGAGATTCACGAACACATGTTAATTTATCTTGGTATTTGTTTTATTTGCAGACCGGGGATGGCGTTGGAGCATTGTCGACCAGCGGTGGACGAATGTCGTCCAGGAGCCGAACCTCCGAGGAACCGCACATTGGTAAATACAAGTTACTCAAAACCATTGGTAAGGGTAACTTCGCCAAGGTCAAACTTGCTAAACATGTACCTACGGGGAAAGAAGTGGCCATCAAGATTATCGACAAAACGCAACTTAATCCGGGCAGTCTTCAAAAGGTTAATATGATGGAAATCTTTACTTACATTAATAATTACATTTTTATAGTTGAATATTTCAAGCCAAATATCATTTATTTTTTTTTCATCACGCAGCTCTTTCGAGAAGTAAGGATAATGAAGATGCTCGACCATCCGAACATAGTGAAACTTTTCCAAGTAATCGAGACTGAAAAGACACTGTACCTGGTAATGGAGTATGCTAGCGGTGGTGAAGTATTCGATTATCTCGTTTTACATGGTCGAATGAAGGAAAAGGAGGCTCGTGCTAAATTTAGGCAAATCGTGTCTGCCGTGCAATACTGCCATCAGAAAAAGATCATTCATAGAGACTTAAAGGCCGAGAATTTGTTACTCGACAGCGAGATGAACATTAAGATCGCTGACTTTGGTTTCAGTAATGAATTTACACCTGGTAACAAATTGGATACTTTCTGTGGCTCGCCACCTTACGCTGCACCTGAACTTTTCCAAGGTTTGTGATTGTTGTTAACCTTTCATTTTACCTTCACACATATACACACACATATATTTTATTGATCTTTCGTTATTCTTGTGACAGGTAAAAAGTATGACGGCCCTGAAGTGGACGTATGGTCGTTGGGAGTAATACTGTATACTTTAGTATCTGGCTCACTGCCATTTGATGGGTCAACACTGAGGGAATTAAGGGAAAGGGTGCTAAGAGGAAAGTATCGGATCCCATTTTACATGTCCACAGACTGTGAAAATCTCTTGAAAAAATTCTTGGTGCTTAACCCTACGAAACGAGCCTCGTTAGAGGTACGTGGAGATAAGGTCCGAGTAGTATTAAACTCGTGAGTTGTGTAGAAACCTAAGAAAGAATGAGATAACTTAAAGCGTTGATCTCCTTGTTTTTTTTTTTTTCTCTTTATATTTGTCTTACAGAATATAATGAAAGATAAATGGATGAATATGGGATATGAGGATGACGAATTGAAACCGTACTTAGAACCTGAACCTGATTATAAAGACCACAAGAGGATAGGTGAGTCTGCCAGTATGTACATAACACTTACTACTTACTGTTTTTATGTTTAGCAAGCAAGCATTCCATATCTAATGTGGGCACTCTTGACTTCTTCACTCTAAAAGCATTTTACTACGAAATATAATCATTTAACTAATGAAACATCATTTATTTGATTATATTACTAATCGCATCATCCTGTTCTAAAAAAAAAAAGATTGACCACAACGTAAGACGTATCAGGAAATATTTTTATATATAATATAATAATTACGGATAATATATCAGAATCCTTATTTTTAATACAATTTAATTAAACGTCATGCTACGTTAGTTAAAATAGATTTTAGCGTAATAGCATGCAAAATAATAGACGTAATGCGTATTTCGTTAAATTATTAATAATAACTGATTCGATTGAACGAATTATTACACAGCTGTGTTCATCTATATTTATTTTGATCATATATATAATATTTTTTTAACTGATATACCTATGCATGAATACATTTATGTGTCTTTATGTGTAATCCAAGTCTATTAATTATATTATAATGTATGCATTATTGAAACTTTTGTAACTAAACATCGAACATACATATCCAACTATATAATTGTTATCTCTCTCAAGCAATCATACAAAAATTAGTCTCATTATTTTAGAATTTGTTATATATTATATATGTAGAGTAATATCGTTACTTTAGTTAAAATACTTAGATATAATATTATTGTTGTATCGTATATATATGTTATATGTAGAATATTCTTCTTTTATTTGATGTGACTATGCCGATCCACGTATTTGTTTCAGAGGCCTTAGCTAATATGGGATATACGAGAAGTGAGATAGAAGACTCATTAGGTCAAGCTAAATATGATGATGTATTTGCGACATATTTGCTATTAGGCAGAAAAACAACAGATGTAAGTAGAAAATATTTTAAAATAGTAAATATTATTTTGGTAGATCATCAAAATGGTAGATTCTCATTTATTTTTGATTATTATATTTGTTAATTATTCTTGTTTTATTTGAAATAGCCTGAAAGTGATGGCTCACGGTCCGGAAGTTCTTTATCGTTGCGCACTATTCCTGCACAAGTTAGTTCGGGCGGAGGAGGAAGTAGTGGAGGAGGTACAGGTGGTGCTGTACAAAGCCCATCACACAGAAGTGTTCACAGAAGTATTTCTGCTAGCAATCCAAAGCCCAGCAGACGGGCCTCGTCTGGTGGCGAAACCCTTCGTAAGTGAATGTCATGTTTTAATACAATAACGGTCTAAACTAAAATGTAATGTGAAAACACTATACGATACTGAAAAAAAAATTGAAAAAAAAAAGAAAGGACAAACGTTATGCCTCGGGTAAGCAGATTGATTTTCTTAACTGTAAACTAATAGTTTTATGCTAAAAGCATGCCCCCCCGCCATCGATTTTAAAAGTAATGAAATTGAAAGAAAAATTTATTAAAAAGAGCTAATGTATATATCTTAGGAGGTGCACCAAGTCCAGGTAATGCAACGAATCATAATCATGCTCCTGCTGTAACTGGTGGAACAGTTACCAGTAGTGGTGGTAGCAATTTCAAACGGCAAAATACTGTAGATGCGGCAACAATCAAGGAGAATAGTGCTCGTGTTTCTGCCGCTCGACCTTCCGCACCGAAAAATAGTCCAGGGCAACTCGATACCAGTGAGTTCAACTTGTTCAAAGTACTCTCATACGAGGCACTTTAGGAACAACATTATTTGCTTCTTATGCTATATCCTTAGAGCTTCAAATATCATTTTGCTTTGGACAAGGTTGCAGTGGATTCGTTGCTAATTTATTTTATTGAATTAGATATTAATTTGTAAACGTTCCATATTGTTCTCGTATATTATTATTATTATGTCACATATGTCTGTATGTATTTGATCATGAATTTATTTGCATCATACAATCTCATGATTAATACTATGTCATGATTCCTGAATATCATATACATACACCTCCTTCATTTTCTTTAATGTATTTAGATAACAAATTTTTAAATTATTATATTTTGACACTTTTTTTCATAAATAAATCTAATTCAAGTAATGTTTTGCTTTATTGCATTATAATTTTCTTTTTTTCTCTTTTATTTTTAAATATTATTATATTTATATAATGAATGTGTACTCGTCAAAAACGAGAGTTACACAAATTTTCATACAGAATCAGGATTGATATAGCTCTACAAAGTCATTGTTCTTCTAAACCTTGTCTTGTCTTTTATAATTTAATGTATGCTGCTTTGTTTTGTGTTGAACCATATCTAATGAGGCTTGCAGTGACAATGTTCATTCTAGGCGTGGGTACAAGTCCCAGTAGTAAAGGAAGGGTGGGCAAGAGCAACGCAATGAATGCAGGAGTAGGTGGAGTTCGACCAATTACCTCACCTGCTCCTGGTTCTGTTGGTCGACGTAGCACCATCTCCTATGACCAAGCAAAAACATCTTCTTCTACTGAAAGAACCAACGACGTACCCAGGTATAGTTCCATTCAAAAATTTTCATTAATTCCATATTATTTAAATCATCGATTTGGATTTTATATAAATCAAGAAGGGACCCTGAAATATAAAGTACCAATCTTTATTGATAATAATTTCATTTCAGTATTTCAGGTAGCCTACTTTATTAATATATGATCCTTACAAAAGGTACTGGATTTCTGATAGACGCGAAATGTTGAATCAAGTTGAAATTATTCATTTAAAATATGAATCTTTATTATTATATCCAGTATCTCTCGATCCTTGTATTTTCTTACAAGATATATGAAGTGAAATTTAGATTGTGTATCAAAATTTTAGGTACCTTTATCAATTTAACATTCCTAATCTTACTAACTATATAGGTGACTAATTACTTGTATGTTAAGAGTACTAAACTAATTTAGAAAAAAGTTTGAAAAAGTTTGGATGAGATAACAGAATCTGTCAGCAGAGCCCCAGGGAGTTTATTTGTTTGTTGCATTGCTCTAGCATGTTGGCTGCTGCCTGCCAGACGGTCATTGCAGTTCACTTTCTTTATGGCTTGACAGATGTATTAAGCAAACAATCTAATTCAACGTGCATTCATGTACAGATGCTTGCTAAAATTACATTGAACCACAGTTACATCCACATGTCTTATTCTATTTTTCAAATACTTTTAGATCTTAAGAACGTGTGTGTATAGAGAAACATTCATTAACATCATCATACATCATTCTTATGTTCTAGCGTCATATTCTTATTCATACAAATATTTGCAAAATCAAGTTATTTCTAAGCTAAGAATTTCTTTCGTTTGTATTCATCCTTTTTCCATCCTTTTATATTTCCTAGTCTCTTCATATAATATGAAATTTCTTTCTCTTTTTCTCTTTTCTTTTTTTTTCTTTTCTTTTCCTTTCTTCGACTTCTCTTTCTTTTCATATAAATTTTTCTAACAATAGACATGTACATATCATGTATAATATACACATATATTAAAGTTTTCCTACATATAACGTTGTTGTTATATTGTTAAATGGAAGTATAAAATATAGTTAAAAGCAAACAAATATGTAGTCTACGACACAAAATTATGTCACATATCTACATACATTACAATTAATTAGGTCGTTTTTATAATATACGTTTAGTACATAGATATCAATAGGATACTTTTAGGTAAAGTTAGTGAGAATTAGGATGTAGTATCGTAGTAGAGTATCATCCTATAAATGCAGAGAGGAATAGGTCTAACATGCAGAAAAGTAGGGCCAGGCAATTTGTTCATTAGTTTTGTGCACAGCCTGGGCGAAGGCACTAGACCAACACGGGGTCACACCAAGTCTGCGAGCATCAGTGCAGGTCACCGTTCCTCCAGTGGCGTACCTCCCAGCGACCATTCACTACTGGACCCTCAACCACGCAACGCCCACAACTCCTTACTCGCCACTGCTGACCCTCTTAGGCAGAGGTACAGGTTCCCTATACCTTATCGACCAACCTTTATACATTCCTGTATTATAAAATGTTCAGATACATTTCTTCATACATCTGATTGCTTCTACTCTATTTGGGCCACTAACTCTCTTAGGGTAACAAGGAATTATCTCATTAAGGTTTTCATTACTTGTATACCTTATATATATATAATATATATAATATATATATATATATATATGTAATATGAAGCACTATCAGATTTGTCTAGTTTGCTATAAACAGTTGGACCTATCAATATCTTCCACATAATTTCAAATAATCATCTCTGCATAGATTCTCTAGGACAGTTTTTGGTCATTTGTTCATTGCTCTATTTTCCTGTATCTTTCATTTGCATGTCTCATATTATATCCTTAATTTCCTCTGTTTTAATACTATCACTTTCATATTCGCCTTTATACATTTGATAATGCATCACTTTCATTCCTCAATAATAAATATGCACTACTCCTGTCTATAAACAAAATTAAAGCAACTTAAGGGTGAACTACTATTTGATCTTTATTCATCGTAGATGCATAGAAATGTAATGCAATTACATGACACCAGATCATTGGTTAGTATGCATGTATGTAATGATAGAACATTCTTAGATATGCTACATTTTGGAGAAGTTTAATAATATTTTGAAAATTATACAATAATACATCAATGTTTTTTTCTTCTTTTAAAAATAATTAATAACGAATTTATAATATTTACGCGAATATCAATTTCACCAACTAATATACTTAAATACTTCAAAGTTTAAAACTCAAATATTTTTTAATAAAAAATTGACTATTTTCATTTATTCCTCATAATTTCTAGCAAGCTTAGACCAATTAATTATTCAACCTTTGACTTCTTTGAAGTATTTATTGATGCATGTTATATAAAAAAGAAAAGATATCTGAATTAACTATATAATAATTCATAAATGCGCTTATATGTAACATTATACTCTATTACATACATGGAATGTTGCTTATCTGATATGTGAATTTTTCTAGCAATTGCTTTCCACGACAGTTGTAAATTTATAATAAGTCTATCCATATTCGATTCTCCATCGAATTTATTATTACTCTTTTTGCATATTATTTATTCTGTCTCTATGAAACAACAACAAAAAATATATATTGTATATATATATGTATATGTATATGTATATGTATATGTATATTTATATTTATATGTGTATGTATATACATATATATATACATATATATATACAAATTTTCTGCACAAACTTATTTTTATGCGCAATGTGTAAGAATCCAACCAAAATATATAATAAATAATAATATTAGTAGTAAGTTGAAAAAAGAAAAGTAATATTCATTGTAAAATAAATATTTTTTATTAGCTTGGGCGTACCTCCAAGCAATAGACTAGCAACACCAACAACACCGGCGTTTCCTCGAAATGTTCCAAGCCGTAGTACGTTCCATTCTGGGCAAAACAGAGCACAGCGTAGTCATACTCAGGTCAGTATGTGTATCTGTATAGGTGTATACCTATATTATGTATATATATGTAATTTAGAAGATAAAATGAAATAGATTACACAAAAAGAACAAAAATAATAAAATTATTGAAATGTTCCCTTTTGTATTTTTTATTAGACTCTCGTGAATATACTAGTATGTACAAATAAATATTATCTTACTTTTTCTATTCTTACTACTATTTTTTATCCAGTATTTCATAGTTTTTATTTTATACAAATGTATATAAAATATTGCAGGGTCATACACATACACAGGACACAAATGCGATTAGCCCCCTAGCAAGGCCATCCTTTTTCTCCAAGTTGTCTTCAAAATTCTCCAAACGGTAAGTTTTACCATTTGTGTGTATATATATATATATATATAGATATATTACATATATATATATATACATTTTTTTTGTTTAAATGCCTTATAGTTTCATATATATATATATATGAATTGAAATTATCATTTGCATGCTAGATGATGTTTTTGTTTTTAAGGATGCACAATGACTATGTATTTCTGAAAATTTCTATACTGTTATGATAAATATTAATAAGAACTACACAGTACTATTATTACCTTATATAATTTGATGAGCCAGCAGCGACCATTATCAATGAAAGCCATAAAACATGTAGTTCTTCATGTATATTCCGTTTTTTCTAGTTTTATTGACTTGTATATGCATATATTATATTGTACGTACCATTTTCATCCTCAAGCGTCTCCACTTTCATCTGTCTGTATTGCTTATTTGTCCCATAAATATATGCTTTATCAAGTTTTAGCACCTTTTTAGTTTTAAAGTCTGAGTAAAAATAATTTAACTTTTATTTGGTTATTTCTTTTTCTCTCTTTATCTTTCACTCTGTCTCTCTCTCTCTTTCTCTCTCTCTCTCTCTCTCTCTCTCTCTTTAGAATTTACTTATATAAAAATAACTGCAATATTAACTCTCATCCTCTTGTACATTTTTTTTCTAGATTTTGTTATATATAATCGTCTATAATTAGTTAACGTATATCACTTTTTTCATGTTATTATTTGTACATTGTGTAGATCCTTAAAGCTCATTGAAAAAAAAAAAAGTAAAAAAAAAATAAAAATAAAATATACTAAAAAAAAAGAATAGTACTGCTTGGCTAAATTAATGGCCAGCTTGCATACTCATTGTGCATCCCTTTTTGACTTGACTGTAGCAAGGCATATCCTTACTTTATTATTTATATGGGACGTAATTATTATTGCACATTCGAAAATAATAATTAGGATAATAAATAAAATAAAATTGACACATTAATATTTACAAACTGAGGATGTGATGCCACAGAATAACGAGAATAACTCAGACACCACTGTTTAATCGTAACTTTCATGAAATGGTCACTGTACTCATCTCTTGTTATATGTACAGAATATTTTAGAAAAAAAAACTATATATATATACACATACATAAGGATTTGTAGAAGCATAGCCATTGATGCATCAACAATAAAATGATTGTTTCTCTAATTAACTTATATACTAGTATATATTCTATGATGCAGGACGTGAACAAAATAAACTTGGCTTCGTCAGAAGTTTCAACAAGCAAAACAGGCCATACAGATACAAGTCCTAACAATCATGTGTATGCTGATTGTCTTAAAATAATAAATTAAGCATGTTCAACACACACATACTTAAATTAAATCCAAATCATCGGACTCTTGGAGTGCTTGTATAACGAAAGTGTGCATTGAATCAGTGGATTGATGATCAGTGAAATTCAGTTCTGTTATTCTGTGGTTCATCAAATAAAAAAAGGAAAGAAAAAGAAAAAGAAAAAAAAGCACGGACAGCTTCTCTTTTAGTGACTCTTTTACATGTTGATAATTAAAATATATGTCAGAAAACGCGCTCGTATGCGCGTAATTAGTACTACGCATAAAAGTGCGACTAGTTAACATACATACATACATACATACATACATACATACATACATACATATATATAAATACAATTGAAAGTATTAAAAAGTAGTCTTCCTGAAATCATCATCGTACAGGAAGTCGCCTTATGCACTCTTAGGTATATGTAGCACTGAAATCTGTGCCTTTTCTAATTCAGCCTGCCAATCTGCTATGTGCACTTTACGTCGATCATCTAAAAGAAAAGAAAAGAAAAGAAAAGAAAAAAAAAAAGAAAAAGATAGAAGAAAACTCTGTAAACTTCCTTATATTTTTATACATTTTTCATAATAAGCATTATGGTGTACCTTTACTTTTTTTTCAAAGAAAAGGTTACGATTCATGACTCTATTTAAAAATAGCATAATGATTTAGATGAGTTTCGACGTGGAGTATTAGCCTTTGAAACGTCAAAGGTATAATAATCTGTTTAATCAAATATTTAATTAAAAAGAAAAAAGAAAATAGTGCTTATAATTAAAAGGAAAAAAAAGAAAGAGAGAA